TAGTACACACATACCATAGACACAGTTTAACTGTTTCTGAGGCCACTTCTCAACCTAAAGCATACGACGAGGATGGGATTTGAACCCATGCTTGCTGAGAACACCGGATTACCAATCCTTTGCCATAACCACTCGGCCACCTCGTCCTTGTTTCTGTCTCGTACTGAAGGAGAGACGATCAAGCTTTGCACAGAAGTCTTTGGATGGTCGTTGGAACGGACCCTACTTGAAACCCTGAGGTTTTCTGATTAATTTTATTTGCAAGGTGTGGGGAATTAGCTCAAGTGGTAGAGCGCTCGCTTCGCATGCGAGATGTAGCGGGATCGATGCCCGCATTCTCCAGAACGTCCTTGTCACGGTAGATTGGACTTTTCATTTAAGATCGAGTATTTTGACAATTACCACAATCTGGTGTAGACTGGGTCAAGGGTTTCCATAGAGCTCCTTTGATGTTCATTTGAATAAAATTTCCTGAAAATCGTGAGATTTTTTTATCCTTTCTCTAAGACCTATGTGGGGAATTAGCTCAAGTGGTAGAGCGCTCGCTTAGCATGCGAGAAGTAGCGGGATCGATGCCCGCATTCTCCAGAACGTCCTTGTCACGGTACATTGGACTTTTCATTTAAGATCGAGTATTTTGACAAGTACCACAATCTGTTGTAGACTGGGTAAAGGGTTTACACAGAGCTCCTTTGATGTTCTTTTGAATGGAATCTATAGAAAATCATGAGATTTTTTGATAATTTTTCTTGGATCTGTGTGGGGAATTAGCTCAAATGGTAGAGTGCTCGCTTTGCATATAAGTGGTAGTGGGATCAACAATTCTAAGTCGAGTCATAATTACTTCTTCTTTTTGACTTCCCCTCAAACAATTACCTCCTACACTCTTGAATTGCATATACCTGTCTCCCATTATCATGGTTATCTCATTGATCCTGCCAAATCTTAATTTATTTTTCAATAATAGATTTACCCTTACTTTTACCCAAAGGAATATTCAAATTAACAATTTCTGATTTCAAGGCCTGCTTGGCTAGAATATCTACTTTCTCAATTTAGTTTATTAAATTGACTATCAACTAAATTTTTAAATAACTCCCAATTAGCGCTACTTAGCCTCCATCTTGGAATCTGCCCGTCCTCTTCTTTTATCACTTCAGAACCAACTGAAACTAGTATAGGAAAATGGTCACTCCCCATAGGAGAATCACTCAGCACCTTCCAAGATGTAATTTCAGCTATTCCATTTGAAACCAATGTTAGATCTAAAACACTCTTTAAATTCCTACAACAATCATATCTAATAGAGCTACCATCGTTAACGCTAACCAGTGAATGTATCTCAAGAAATTCTTCAATCACCAAACCATTTGCATCTGTATTAAGAGTCCCCCATAAAATATTATGATAATTGAAATCACCACACCATACAGTCTTGCCTACATTTTGTTCATTTACTTCATTGAGCTCTTGAATGGACAACTTCTTGTTAGCATTATAAACATTTATCACAGACATTTGACCATTTCCTATCCAAATCTTAACTCTTGATTCATAATTCTGCCCTAATGATTCCACTTTATATCTTATACCATCTTGTACAAAAGTTGCCACTCCCCCACCTTGTCTTTCCTTTCCATCATTTCTAATTGATGTATACCCAGGAATTATGAAATCCAGTTGGAGTTTAAGCCAGGTTTTTTGAATGCAAATCAGATGAGGTTTAACTGTCAAATCTGAAATATATTTCTTAAACTCTAGACCATTACTAATGAGACTTCTTGCATTCCACTGGACAATAACAAACATAAAGAATATGGGCCACCACTGCATGATTGAGGTTGAAAAGATTGTGTCTCATTTAATTTTTCCTTAATTGATTCCCAACTAACATTCTTACAGTCAAGATACTTTTGGGCTTCCTTCACTATTATTTGAATTTTTTCCACTTTTCTTTGTGTTTGAGCAGTGCAGTTAACAACCTCAACCATGAACAATACAAAATCCTCCTTTGTCATACTCTTAGATGTCTCCCTTGTCCAACACACTTGAATCCAATAGCTGAATCACTTCCTAAGTGCAGTCAAGTTCTACAGAGTCCTGTTAACGACCTCATTATTTGACTCAGGTGTGTTGAAGTAGAGATGCATCTAAAAGTTGCAGGGGACCGGCCCTCGAGGCCTGGAGTTGCCCACCCCTGGTGTAGACGGTTGGTACAGCAACAACGGATCTTTAATGTATTTTGGTGCTAACCCGTTTATTGATTTATAAACTAACAACAGTATTTTAAAGTCTATTCTTTGAGCTACAGGGAGCCAGTGTAGGGACTTTAAAACTGGTGTTATGTGCTCTATCTTTCTGGTTTTAGTCAGAACACAAGCAGCAGAGTACTGGATCAGCTGCAGCTATTTGATTGATTTATTGGACAGACCTGTGAAGACACTGTTGCAGTAATCAATGCGGCTAAAGATAAACGCAAGGATGAGTTTTTCTAGATTGTGCTGAGACATAAGCCCTCTAATCCTGGAGATGTTCTTCAGGTGACAGAAGGCCGACTTTGTGACTGTCTTAATGTGGCTCTGAAGGTTCAGGTCAGAGTCCATCACTACTCCCAGGTTTCGGGCCTTATTGCTGGTTTTCAGTTCTTATAACTGGGGTGACCGTGGCTCTCTGGTAAGAGTAAGTCGTCTTGTGATCAGAAGGTTGTAGGTTCGATTCCAGCTTCCTCCTGCCATGTCGATGTGCCCCTGGGCAAGGCACTTAACCCCAAATTACCTACTGATCTGCATATTGGTGTATAAATGTGTGAGTGTGAATGGGTGAATGTGGCTCTAGTGTAAAGTGCTTTGAGTGGTCAAAATGACTGGAAAAGCGCTTTATAAGTTCAGTCCATTTACACAGCTAGCAGGACAGTGTGGCTTTAAAAACAAAATAATTATTAAATGGAAAAGAAGCCTATGCAAAGTGTACAGTGATTCTGTGGGCTGGTTTCTCTTCTCTGGGAATGTTGTCAGACTGCATAGTATCATGAACTCTTTGAGGCATCGTAAAATAAATCTGGCAGTCTTTACTGGGAAACTGAAAGTGGGATCTAATTGGGTCTGTCAAGAAGGTAATGATTAAAATCCAGATGAACACAGAAATGGTTCAAAACACAACATATAAACATGGATAGTAGTGGGGATTTTATTAAATTCAAAATTCTGATTGGATTTCAAGTCTTTTGGTGTAACTACATGCAATAAAAGTATATTTAAGCCCAGGCTTCTTACATATGTTGAAAAATCAGAGCAACCTAAATGTATTGTGTTAATTGGTCACAAGTAATCAAATTAAGTTTATCCAACTTCATTTATTAGGTTTATTAAGTGGTCGTGTCAAACAAACGTAAACGTAACGTAAATAGTTTGGCACAATTACTTGTGACCAATTAGATTTTTTTAAGTTGGGGCTATTATTTTTTCCAGTACACCTTTACTACAATAAGTTTGGACGATGTTTGTAAAAAAAAAAAAAAAAAAGGAAAAGAAAATCCCTAGAATTGATAAATGTGTTTGTAGCTAACCTTCAGAGCCAGGCTCATGTTCGTCTCCAGTGCCGTAAAACACTGAGATCCGTGCCAAAGCAACAGATGTGCCAAATTCCAGCGGCCTGCCCTCCGACCAGCGTTTCATCTAATCGCATTGCCTCCCGCTTGTTTGTGTTTTATTTATTTCCTTCCTCTCTGTACACGTCAGCATGCATTTTTTGGTTGTTGTTGCATTTTCTGGGGTGTGTGAAGGGGGTGAGGGGGAGTTTTCTGTGGGAGAAAATTGGGTTCATATGGCCTCGTCTCAGGTCAGCTGCGACGTCTGGCTGGGCTCAGACGTCTCATTTGTGTGTGCGAGACAGAAAGCGGAGGTATAAAAAAAAAGAGCACTAATTACGTCATTATGTCAGTCTGGAGATAAACAAGCCTGCTCCTGCCGCTCGCGTACACAATCTTGGTTTTGGATGTGGCGTAAACGCCAAAGTTTAAAGTGGGAACACACATCATTCTGTTCCCAGCAAGGTTGCCCGACAAACCTCCATTCATTTCCCAACATTGAGGCCATAGATGGACGATGACCGCAGCGTTTCTGAAACCCTGCTCACTTTAGACCAAGGACAAACAGACTGCCAGGCAAGCAAGAGGAGGAGCGTTTCCACCTCGGTTCGAGTCAGTAGTAGAGCAAGGCGTCACTTGTCCAGAGAACCGCGCCCGCTGCGGAGTCACGTCGAAATGTGCCGTTATCTCCCAGAAATAAACCCTCGCCATGATGAATAAGACTTTAATGTAGGACAGCTTATAGGACCATTGTAGCAAAAAATAAAAAAAAGAAAAGGAAAGAAAAGAAAAGAAAATTTCTGAGTTTGAAATTTCCTTCAAGTAAGTCGAAAATTTAAGAGAAAAAAATCTGAGATTAATCTCAGAAATGTCCTAGAAAAATACTTGAAAATTTCTGAGTTTGAGAAATTGACATGCTGGAAAAAACAACACTTTCCAAACAATCCCAGAAATAATAATAAAAAAAGTTTGAGAGCTTCAAAAGTCGAAAATTTGTAAGCAGAAATTTCCTCCAAAATACAGAATATTTACATTTGCTAGAAAAAAACACAAGTTTTTTGTTTTTTTTTACATTTGTTTGGAGAAAATTTCTCAGTAAAACAAAATCTGTTTTTAGCATTTTTTACTTTTTGAGTTCAGAAATGTCAACTTTTTTTTCTAAATATTTTTCAGATTAAACTCAAAATTCTGGAGTTTTAGCAACTTTTAGACTTTAGAGCTCAGAAATTTCAATGTTTTTTATGTTTGACAATCTCAAAATTTTAGAGTATTTTGACAAAAATTCACTCCTTTTTTCTTTTATTAACAAAAGCGCTATTACGGCGTTGCATTAATGCACTCAACCTTTTCGGCACGAGCTGAATGCATTTCTTTTTTTTATAAAGATTTTTATTAGTTTTATGTTTCACAAGTAGAGAAAATAGAACATCATATGATGTACTGCCTATAACCTTACATGAGTATGTGAAGAAGAGAAACAAAACAAACAAAAAACAACCCCCCCCAAAAACAAAAAAAAAAAGAAAAAGAAAGGGGAAGCCGCCGTACAACATCACATTT